AGAGGGGTGGGGCGGAAGCTGCCTTTGGACTTGGGGGTCACGGGCTCCCCAATGGGTGTCTTCTCCGCAAATCAGGGGATAAAAGTCAGACCACTTCCGATGCGCGCAAGGACACAGACACCTGTCAAGGCAGCGAAGTCAGGGCGGACAGCCCCAGAGCCTCTCTCTTCCTCTCCCTTCCACTCTCTCTAAAAAAATCAGTGGAACAATACCCTCGGTGAGGATTAACCAAAAAACTTAACAATGACAGCAACGAGGGTTACACTGGCGGGAGTGGCAGCCTTAGAGCAGTGGAGGTGGGACCACAGGCCACACAATCCCGCAAAAATGACGCAGCACTCAACGGGGGACCTGCCAGGAACATCGTGGCTCCTACACACGGACAGAACGTCTACCCGCTGGGCTCAGAGGGCTCCAGGGGTGCAGAAAGGTGTCAGGGGTGATCATTGCCTCGGGCTCCAGAGTGGGCAGAGGACAAGGCGGACACCTTGGGATCACCGGCCAAATGAGCCAGTGGTCACAGCCACAGGACGGCTCTGGGGCCGTGGAGGGCGGCAGTGGAGGATGGCTCTGAGCAGAGGGGCAGCCTGAAAGGACCTTGCAGGATGGCTGGGCCCTAGTGTCCGGCTAGGAGGGGGGGGGGAGGAGGAAGGGGAAGAGGAGGGGGAGAAGGTCACCTGTGCTGTTGGGGGTGAGCCTGAGCACAGGCCCCCTCTTCCGCCGGCTGTGTGGCACCCAGCAAATCGCTTTCTGCATCTAGGACTGTGGCGGACAGAACGGCCGTGGGCAGATGACCACGTCCTAACCCCCAGAACCTGTGTGTTCGTTCCCTGACCTGGCGAACGGGACTTTGCGGGTGTGAGTAAGCTCGGGGTATTGAAATGGGGGGATGAGCATGTGCAATCTGCGGAGTCTTTCAGATCATGCTTCTAAGAACGCCACTGAACGGGGCCCTGCTCTCTCGCTTCCTGGTTCAGAGCTTGGTTTGGCCACTTCCTGGCCGCAGGGTCACCGGACAGTCACCCCAGCTCCGCTTTCTCAACTGCAAACGGGTGACAGTAACAGGGCCTGCTTGTGGCGTCGCGGAGGGTTAGAGTAAATAACCCAAATGCGAAAAGCCTGGCGCGGAGTCCAGAGGACGCCGGGAACAAAGCTGGTATCGTCCACACGTCACCACCAGGAGCGACTGACACGTATTCCACCCGCCAAGTGGGTTTTTCAAAGGGAAACTGGGCAGCCAGAGCGCCAGGCTCTGGTGGGGAAGGGGAAACGCTAGCCGTCAGTTGTGACTCCCGGGCAGCAAAGGGGAGAGAGGCAGGCGAACATTTACCAGCAGGTCCCGCTGTTGCGGGTTTTCTTTGAAAAGCCAGTGCTCTCCCTCCCGTCCCCGCAGACCCTCTGCACGGAGGAAGTCCTGGACCCCTTGTCACCACCTGTGCCCTATGAAGCTGTCTCCTTGGCGTATATGTCCTACCCCGAGGGCTGGCCCAGCACCCAGTTTCACCTCCAGAATCTCAGTTGTATTTTCTTTCAGGAACATGAGATGGTATCTAAGGGGCTTTAATGGGACTTGTCACATTGCCTCCCTCCGCATCCCCCGCAAATTCTCTCCATCGTTAGCAGCTTGCTGGCAGGCATGAGTCCGAGGCCGAGGCGGGGCTGGAGTCCTGGCCCCTGGGCTGTGGAATATCTCAGGGCACGGAGCACCATCGATTTGCATCAGCGCCTCCCGAACAGCCTCCCCTTCTCCACTAAGATACTCTCTGGACTGGAATTCACTAAAGAGCCCCAGAAACGACCGGGTCATTTAGCACAACATCCCTGATGCTGCCCCCTCTCAGCTGCCGCGTGTGGATGGGGCGCATTG